TGCGATGTGCAGGGTCTGCTGGCTAGGTGCTGGCAGGCTTGCACCTGGCACAAGCACCGTAGCCAGACCGTGCCCCTTTACGGGCTCTGGGGTTTCCTTGGTTTGGCCCAGAGTGATCTCCAGGACAAGCTGGGAAGGGCTAGCCCCCCACTAATTCAAACTAAGTGGCTACACAGCCCATAATTCGTACTACTTAATTCAAACTAGGCGTTAGTCCTCGTAGAATGAGGTTTACCTAGTTCAAATTAAGCGCTCCGCTAGTTCGAATTCAGTTCGAACTAGCGGTTTGTATGTATAGCGCCTATGAAAGTTAATTCGAACTAACGGCTGTTAGTTTGAACTAACTTTGTAGTGTAGACATACCCTCTGACCCCACGGCTTCTATTAGACACAGTTCTTTTGAGGCTACTAATTAAAAAATATATACCCCCGAATTCTTCTGTGTTGATGAGACTCAGACTCATCCTCTCCTCTCCTCTTCTGATGCAGTTTGCATTTGAATACAGGACTAAATACCTCAGCTTGTGTAAATCTCTGTTATAACACAGATTTTTGCTAGGGCTTGTATTAAGATGTGTGTGTCTGAATATTTCACAGTTAGTTTAAAAAAAACAAAATATGTACCTGAATTTAAAAGTTAGCAATGAAGCATATACAGTGCCACAGAAGATAAGAATCCTGTGGCTTAGATATTGTTGTTGGTAAATAAAGAAGGTGCTTTGCAGTGGGAACTATGTTTCATTACATATCTTGACAGTGCATTTATCCAAATTTCTGCACAAATGGGAATTGTGGGGATTTTGGGAAAAGCTGGCCTGAACTGGGTGACAGGAATGAGGACATCAACCAACCTTGATGGAGGAATCCAGGCAAAAAAGGGACAAGAACTTAAAATTTTCTTGAACACCCCTGAAGAATCCATGGAGATAATTGATTTCAGGTAAGAACAGTTAAGAGCAACATCCAGATAACATTAACAATTACCACATTCTGAAATCAGAACTAAGCTTTCATGTTTGTTAACACTGTGACTCTAAATATGAATTCCGTTTTCTCTCTGTAGCTTTAGTGACCGTGCTTTGGTATTAAACTTAGCAGGGTGACTTGCCTTGCCTTGTACAAACTTGCCAATTTGAAAAAAGGACACTTATAAGGTCTATCACACTTCAGATCTTTCATATGTTGTTTGTGAAGGCCCACTGGGAGCTAGTAAAAGTGGAAAAAAGTACTGGGCCAAATCCTGATGTCATTCAATTTTTGCTTGATTTTTCCTCAAGCAAAATTCCCATTGTTTTAGTGGAAATTCTGCTGAATAAGGACTGAGAGAAAACTGATTAAAGATTTTTAGACTCAGTTTTCTGTGACTAAAGTTTTCTTCAGTGAGTTTTGCAAGTAAATTACTGATTAGGAAAAGTCTTGCAGATTTGTGAAGCATGGATACAGGTCTTGGAGCATGTATCTTTATTTCTTAGGGTATGTCTAGGCAGCAGGGCTATTTTGGGATACCAGAGGTATCTTGAAATGGCTACTCTGCGTCTTTTAAATGCACCCATTATTTTGAATATTTTTTGAAATAATGGCTGAGCTATTTCGGCATCCCTGTAACCCTTGTGTAACGAGGGTTAAGGGATGTGTCGAAATAGCACAGGTCTGACTGCACCAACTCTTCATGCACCAAGCAGGAGAGCATTTGGATCAATAGCCATCACCCCCCTTTCTTTGAGATGACACCATGAGGATCACAATACAATGTGCCACAAATATAGGGAATGGATTTAATTTTCCCATGGTTTGCACGTGGGAGAGAAGCATCTGCTTACCTCTAAACAGTGCATGGCTGAGGGGCAGTCAAGTTCAAGGTGATGTCCAGAGTGGTTAAACGTGGCATTGTGAGATACATGCTAGAGTCCAATAAACTCGACTACAAACCTACCTAGTACACACTGCAAGACAGTCAACAGTACAGAGACAAAAGTCCTTCGCGGGGCTGGAAGTTTTTTGTTGCCAAAACTGGCCATATGTTACAACATTTGTTGTGTTATAGTGTGAATGTTTGGAGGGTTTTATCACAAAAACTTGTGCTTTGGTGACAGAATATGCCAGTGTAGACAAGCCCTTAGGTGGTGTAGTATATATTTCCAGCAGTTTTCTCTCTTCTGATTTTCAGATTTGACAGACATCCAAGTGGAAAATTCTGGATCAGCAAGATGGCTGTTTCATGTGTTGATATATAAGAGGGTTGTACCCATAAAAGCTCATGTTTTGTTAGTCTTTAAAGTGCTGCTAGACTACTCGTTATTTTTTAAGTTTTGTCAGATGAATTAGAATTAAAATAATAGAAAACAAGACATATATAAACAGTAGAAGTACCTATCAATTGTAAGACCATATTAATGGGGCTAATTAAGTGGGATGGACATTCGTAGCTTTTGATGTGAACATGCAGATGTTAAAGGTAGGAGAAATTGGCTTTGTAATGCACCAACTAGTTAATGTCTTTATTCAAGCCATGGTTAACAGTGCCAAATTGGTAGATAAATTCCCGTTCTATAGACTCTCTCTAATTGGCTAGTGAAATTCCTTTTAAATTCATGATTGAGTGATCAGGCAGGTTAAAATGTTTCCCGACACATTCATGTGTGTTATCATTCTTATGTCAAATTAACTAATTAGTGCTGTAGTGTAGACATCCCCAGAGTCTGTAGATGAGGGGGCACATGGAGCCACTGTTGTACATAGAGATTGTCCTATTTCGGCAATATACATAATAGAGAGTCATTGCTGGCACTTGATGGCATATATCACATTAGAGGATGTGCAGTTGTATGAACCCCTGATGTTGTGGCTTATGTGATTGGTCCTGTGACAGAGTTACTTGTATAGATATGTGGACAGAGTTGGCAATGGTGTTTGTTGCAGGGGTAGGTTCCTGGATGAGGTTTGATGTGTAGCTGCTGGTAAGGATTTGCTTCAGGTTGGGGGTTGTCTGTAGGTGAAGATTGACCTGAGGAATTACCTCACTCTCCAAAGCCTTGGGTGACAGTCCAATCCTCACCTACAAACAGCCCTCCATCTGAACTAGTTGCAGGAGCTAAACAGCAGCATCTGTTCTGTCATGTTCCAACTTCACAGCATCCTCCTTTGTAGGTTTTGTGCTCCCTTGTTTTGGACAGAGGCACGGCTGTGTGGAGAGAAAGTGAGACCAAATGGATGGTGGCCATTCACAGCATCACCTTTCCTCCAACTTGCCAGCAATTATATGCAAGAAAGACTGTCACGTTACAGTTTACACAAAAGTTTTTTGTAATTTGCTGCTTTCAAATTCCCTGCACTTATATGCATTGTCTCCCTCCTTTTTCATTTGATAGGTGCTTCCTTATCTGTAGAACTGATGAGTCTTATTCTCCAATCATTTTCCTCATTGTGAATTAGGAGTCACTCTACTGAAGTTAAGGGTGTTGCATTGGTGTGAATCAGGGAAGAATCAGATCTTACATGATTGCTCTACTTCTAAATGTGCTGATTACAGTAAGGATTGTGCTTCATCTCCGAGGGGTAAATTCACCCCTGTGCTGAGACCCATCTATTCACCACTTAAGTCTCTATTAAGGCTTAAAGTTGTACACAAATTTTGTGCAAGAATTTCACAAAGTGACTTGCACCTCTAATATAAATAAACACCTCTAATATAAATAAACCCTCAGCACATCAGCCACTTTTCTAATAACATTTTTCAACCTAAAAGGTTAAACAGAATAAAAAGAAAGGCAAGTCAGCACAATAATGAATACAAACTTTTAGCAGTGATCAAATACATAATTTAATATGGCTGTTTGCATTTCTTTGTTATAGCTCCAAATTTTACCTCAGAACAATGGATGAGATGGAAAATATTGAAGGCTTCCAAGACCATATAGAAAGCAAATCCTGCACTAGTGAGGAAGGTAAGTTTGTGGATATTATAGCTATCCTACAGAATTCAATCCCTCTCAGATATGCATAGTGTTCTGAATCATAACAAATGCCACATTTGACACAATTGTGAATTTCTTCTCATTCCTTTAGTCCAGAACAATCTACATGTTAATTCTCCTCTGGTGGTCTGAGGTTTCTTTTGACTTAATCATAATGCTGTTCTAATGATCTTATGTTTCACCAGTGTCCAAGATTTTTGGCTGGCAGTTGTGTTCTGAAATGTCTTATCCTTGTAAAACCAGTAATTTGCCTTTCCTACTCTCTGGACCATCAAAAGCAGCTGTGACATTAAAGAAACAAGATAAAGGCTTGCAACAGTACCTGTTGGAAGCGGCCTACAAATATATTCCTCAGGTACAATTACACCACCTATTATTTTTCATTTGGTAGGTATAGGCAGTCCCCGGGTTACGTACAAGATAGGGACTGGAGGTTTGTTCTTAAGTTGAATTTGTATGTAAGTCGGAACTGGTACATATTGTAGGGGAAACTCTAGCCAAACATTTCTCCAGAGCTCAGTTTTATTCTCCCATGCCTCACTTCCCTCGGTCCTTTATTCTCAAGCTGAGGTGTCTGCTGAGAAAAGCCGCTCTGCGTCTCCCTGGTCTGCTGGGGGGAAGCAGCTAGTGCGGGGTTGCCTCACCCTGTTTGTAAGTAGGGATCCGATGTAAGTCGGATCCATGTAACCCGGGGTCTGCCTGTATATTCATTTCCATAGATTTGAGCGAAAAAAGAGTTGTAGCACATTGCATACTCCAGCAGAGCTAGTTGCCAGCAGCTGAAGGATCCACTTTGGCATAGAAAGAAAAAAGTTACATGGAAACTACTATCTGACATTTAGGGTGGATAATTTATTATCCTCATATAACAAAGAACAGATAAGTTAACTGATTTGACTAAATTCATATAATCAGATGCTGATAGAGCTGGGAGCAGAACCCAGGCCTCTTTACTTGGTCCCTTTAGCTAACTACAGAGTAACATGCTCTCTCTTTAATCCCTTTTCTGTACTTGCACCTAAATGACCTAAAAATCAATCTTCTTAAACCAGAATGAGCTGTTAACGAGGCTACACGATTGCTACTGATATCAGTAAGAAATCAACTTAAGGTAAATGAATTCAACAAACGTTAACCAGGGTTAAGTATGTCTACTTTAGGACTTTGTTCCAGTTTAAGAAGATTTGGTTTTTAGATTCATTTAGGGCATGTCTACACTAAAGGGTTATTTTAAAATAACTGATGTTATTTCAAAATAACAAGGTGAACAACCACACAGCAAGCTCTTTCTTTCCAAACTATTTTGAAATAATAAGCCCTCATTTCATGAGGAATAACACCAATTTTGAAATAGCTATTTCAAAATAGGCTGAGTGTAGATGCTCAACTATGCTTATTTCAAAATAATTGGCCTCCAGGGCTTCTCACAGCTGCCCTAGTGGCCGCTCTGTACACAACCCTCAAAATCTATAGCTTCCCTTCTCCTGCAGCCTTTAAAGATGCAGGCAGAAGGGAGAAGGCTTGTGACACCACACTGGCCCTGTGCCATACTGCAGAACCCTACACTGCCTTCCCTGCTGCCATGGCAGACCCCAGTGCTTCCACCTTGCTCTTCATGGCTGCAAGCACACCAACCGCCACCTCTGAAGCCCCTGGTCAGGGGCAAAAGAGGAGGGAACCTCCTGGACTGGTGTGGAGATCTTGGATCTCATTGAGGTCTGCTGGGAGGAGACCAACATCCAGGATCTCCGCACCAAGAGGCTCAATGCCAGAGTCTACAGCTGGATGGTCAACAGGCTGGCCCAGATGGGCACCACTGGACCCAAGACCAGGACCAGATGAAGGTCAAAGAACTCTGGGAAGCCTACACAAAGGCCATGAACAAAGTTCTCTTTCTGAGGGGGCACCTCACACATGCCACTACTTGGAGCAGCTAGGTGCCATCCTGGGAGGGGGCAGGTTGCCTTCCCCCCTCTTCATGGACTCCAGCCTGGCTATGCCCGACCTCAGCTTCCACAAAAAGGTGGGATTGTGGAGGACGAGTAGGAGGAGGAGGCCAGCACTGACACTATGTCTGCCAGCCAGGTGCTCATCCTCAGCCTGGAGCTATTCCCCTCTTTTCCCAGGCTTCAGATAAGGATGGCGAAGGCACTTAATGAGAGTTCTATAACTTCTTCTTCGAGTAATGTCCCCGTGGGTGCTCCACTACAGGTGACAGGCTCGTCCTGGTGCCGCAATCAGGAAAGTTTTCACCAGCAGTAGCCCGCTCCGGAGGACCGCGCATGCGCAGAGTGCCACGTGGCATTCGCGCCTTTTCTGCGTCGCGCGGTCAGACGTGCCAGTTCCTCCTAACCGTCCACGGCCGCAGACGGACTTGGAACACGCTCCCCTCTGAGGAGAAATTGTATTGTTAATTCATTCCTTCCTTCCCAGTTAGCCCCTTCCCTCATAGTTAGTTAATTGTTATATTAGTTAATTAGTTCGTAGTTAAAAAAAACAAAAAAACAACCAACTTTTATTGTTCTCTTGCCGTTACGACCTCTGAGGGCTGTTTCCACCTGCCCCTCAAGTTCTTCTTTTCTCTCGGGGACCGCCGCGCTAAACATGCCCGGTTCCTCCAGCTTTAAGAAATGAGCTTCGTGCGCCGACGCCATGCCGGCCTCAGACAGCCACTCCCGCTGTATCCGCTGCCTGGGAGAGGGCCTCATTCCCCAGAAATGCGGTCACTGCTCGAAGTTGACTGCCCTGGTGAGACGGGACAGAGAAATGTGCCTGAAGATGTTACTCTTCAATAAGGCGCTTCAGCCCCAGTCATCAGGAGAACGGGCTGAAGGAAAGGCACGGGACTCATCGGGATTCCCTCCCAAACGGGTAGCAGACAAGCCAGCCAAAGCCCATAGTACCTCGGCACCCAGTCCCGTGCTATTGGTGCGCTCGGCCACGTCAGGCCGTCCGGAGTCGGCACCGTCATCTGTGACGCCGAGTCTCCGCGCGGCACCGCAACCAGACACGGTGCGGTCTTCAGCACCGAGGCACCCAGCACCATTGTCTCATGCGGCACCACAGCACACTTCCAGGGCGGACCCGGCACCAAGAGCCAACTCGGCACCGAAGTCCAGGCCAGCACCAAAGTCTAAGGAGCCGGCACCGAGAAAGGACTCGACGGCAGCCCAACCGCCTTCGAGATCTGGGGACGCAGCTTCGCCCCACATACAGAGCACGTCCGCAACGGCCCACACAGAACACACACTCTGTGCTGCCCCTCCTGTACACTCAGTTATCTCGGCGCCGACTCCTGTGGCACCGAGACACCAAAGCTCAGGGGACGAAACGGCACCACCATCTCCACACCACCTGGAGGAGGCTTCTGACTCTGCCTCGGATGCCTCGGTCATCTCCATTCCAGGTAGTCCAATCCCCAGGGCTCCCCCATCCACGGGGGTACCGACTAAGGCGCAAAGGAAGACTCACCATCCCCATACGCCTTCCCCCAGTCCCGACAGGGCGGCTTTTTACCCTGAGCCATCGCTCTCACCTCGCCAAAGACGACGAGACCACCACTATGGCTATTCTTCCACACTCCGTTATTACAGATCCCTGAGGCGCTCTATTACACCGCCACATTACCACCGCGCATACTACTCGAGATCCCCATGTCAACATTCGCATCGCTCACCATCCACGGGATCTCCTCCTCGCTCCCGTTACTATTGTCAGAGGAGCGCCACTTCTTACTCTCCGCAATATTCACACCGCGACTCCTGTTACTGTGGGTACACCTCGCCCCATCGTGATCGTTCATGCTCCTTCACGAGGCACTCACCAACCTTATCTCCAGAGCGCCGTCAATTATACTCGCCACAGCTAACGATCCAAGACTCTATCCTGCTGGCTCAACGTCCTCCAACACCTACCGGGGATGAGTTAACAGCTTTGGTCCCGCATGGCGACATCAATCAGTCACCCGTCGCAGAGCAACAACCCGCAGCTTCCCCAACAGATGTTTCTTCCTCTTCCCCAGATGATGTGGTTTTTAATGATGAACCCACGCTCGTGGATGATTATAAGCAATTCCATGAACTTTTTAAGTGTGTAGCATATTCGCAAAATCTGCGTACCTCCGAGGCTCCTCAGAAGCAACATGCCCTTCTCAGAAATCTACAACACTCTAATAAGCCGAAACTCGCTCTCCCCTTTGATGCCACGATCCTTGAGATAGCTAACGACATCTGGCAGACCCCGGCATCTGTGCCTCTTACCAACAAACGCACGGACAGGAAGTACTTTATTGAATCCAAAGATGTGGAATTTCTTTTTACACACCCCACTCCAAATTCCATCGTCGTCGACACAGCTCAGCCTCTGCCGCGGACAAGGAATCCAAGCACCTGGATTTGCTTGGGAGGAAGGTATACTCCTCGGCCACAGCCACATTGAGGATGGCCAATTATTCCGCCCAACTCGCCAATCACGACTTCGATAATTACTCGAAGTTGGTGCCTCTAATTCAACACCTACCAGATTCCAAGCGGGACACACTGAAATCTATCGTGCAGGAGGGTTATACAACAGCCTGTAATGCACTCCAGATATCGCTGGATATTGCCGACTCGGCCTCCCGCACTACGGCGACGTCGGTCGTCATGCGACATGCCTCTTGGCTCCACCTTGCTTCGGTACCAAAAGATCTACAACCCAAGGTGGAGGACCTTCCATTTGATCGAGCTTCCTTGTTTGCCCAGAACACTGACCAGGTGTTCCATTCTGGAAAAGTCTCCCGAACTATTCTAAGAACCCTTGGGATGTACACTCCACCTTTCAGGCGCAGGAGGGCATGGCCATATAACAAACAAAGGCCTTCTTCCTCTTATTCCACCCAACGCTTCAGGCCCTATGATCAACAGAAACAAAGGCAGCGCCCCCAACGTCACCGCCAGCAACCTAATAAACAGCAGAGTCACCAACAACCTCGGCAGCAGGTTTGACGCCCTTGTCAAGGGTCTGCGCACCATCCCCCTATTGGAGGCTTCGTCGCGAGTAACCAAGCTTTTCCACCACCGCCTAAACCCTTATTGCCATCGCTGGTTCGCCATCACCACGGACCGTTGGGTCAGGGAGATCGTAACCTCTGGACTCGCCATTCCCTTCTCCACTCTACCTCCCTCCAACCCCTTATGCCCGTCCCTTTTCAGGGACCCCTCTCACGATCTTCTGTTGCGTCAAGAGGTCATGCACCTGCTTACCATTGGAGTGGTAGAAGACGTTCCCTCCCAGTTCCGAGGCAGAGGTTTCTATTCCCGGTACTTCCTCACCGAGAAGAAGTCCGGCGGATGGAGACCGATCCTGGATCTTTGC